TATATATATATAATGTGTTCAATCTAACTTAAAGGTAGTTTCAAAATTTGTTTTGGCCTTTGAAGTGGTTATGACAAGTAAGAGATTATTGTGCACGTCGGCCAGGGTCCAATGAGGCGTCTACGTCTATAATGTCTATGTTTTCATTGGTCTATATCAGTCTGACGAAAGAAGACTGGAAGGCCTGTCAACACCGTCTCGGGCTCTTATTGGCCAGTATACCCATCCATCAAAGGTTGCCATGGCGACAGCAGGCATAGCGGCTCCGCTCGGTGATTTTGCTCATTCTGCCTAGTTCCTTCAGCATGAACCGATCCGGTACCATGCTCTGCGTTCTACCGTCAGACTGAGTTGTTTTCTCCATGGTTTACTGAACTGGACCTTTGAACTTTTCTGCAAAGTTGGAACTCTGGCTCACCCGAACCGAACCATGGTCCCAGAACTCCATGGTACCGGGGAGACCAGAAGCAGGCTGAGGAACCCCAGTCCAGGTGGTACCGCCGGCGGGGCGAACCAGGCCCGTTTTGTCAGGGGCTTGCTTGGACAGATCCAGACGCCCATCAGGACGGAACCGTTCACCGAGAACTACCGCATCATCCCGGGCCAGGAGCTGGGCAGGTAGGCGGCTGCGCTCCTGAGTTCTGCTCGGGGTTCGGTCCCGGATCAAAGGAGCCCGCTTTGGTTCCACTGCAACTGGTTCTGATATTTAGAGCTTTGATTTCAGCCTCTGGAATTTCCTTTCTGTCAAGTTTTGGATTTGAAAAATATTTTTTTTTTACTAAACTAAACTAAGGTGATGAAATTCTGACTGCAGACGCTGATCAATGTTTTCTTTAATATCAAACATCCTGCTGATGTTTTCTATCTAACAAATATTGATACATCAGTTGGAATCAACCTGCTGCCTGCATGTTTGATTCTCATTCTTCTCTTTCTCTCATCTTCACACCTGAACAACAATTCAATTCAACTCAATTTATTTCTATAGCGCCAATTCACATCATGTCATCTCAGGTCACTTCACAGTTCAGCAGATCATCCAGTCAGATTGATTCAAAGTTTTCTATCTAAGGAAAACCAGCTGATTGCATCCATTGACATCACACTAAGCATGCTCTTAGCGACAGTGGAGAGGAAAAACTACCGTAAAGAACTTCAATCTAATCAAAGTCAAATAAATGAAAATTCAATGAAATTAAACCTTTTGAGGCCAGCAGTCGATTCCTGTTCCTCTCAGCAGGTATTTCATTTCCACTTGACCTGCGACTGAGAACTGGCTTTCCTTGATAAGTTAGATTATTTTACAGATTTTGTTTCATTAATTTCTTTCCAAAATGCATTTCTCACACAAGGGCGTAGGTTTGATTAGAACTTTGGTAGGGGCATCATTGGTCGGGTGTCATTGGTGCTATGCAATATGCATGCCATTTTTTATACTTTATAAGAGGAATTCATTGTTTAATGAGAAAAGCAGCATTTTGCTACATTAATAAAAATGTTATTAGCGCTACACTCCCTAGATGCTGTTTATCAAATTGAAGTATCACCGGCTCTGATGAATGTGGAATTAGGACTGTTTTCCACTTTGTAAATGGTTTCATTTGAACAACTAAGACAGAAGGTAAATACAGTATTTTCTTATGAAGATATAGAATTGTGCAGAGGTAAACCCCACTCTCATATTTTTACCTACTGTGCTCTCTCTGTATCAAGCAAAATTTATACATTCATTAAAATATTAACTTCTGGGCTGTAGTTACTCTGTGTAGCCAATTTCATGTATTTTATCTAGGGCTGAAAAAATGAATCATATTAATTGATTATTTATATAGAGACTCTAAAACATAATATAAATGTAAAATGTGCCTTTCCCCCACCCGAGTAACCCAATTAGATCAGTGATTATACCAAAATTGTAAAAAGATTTGTAAACATTTTGCATATAAGATTTATACAAATGTTTTTGTCTGTCAATATTCTTCATCCAGAACTCCTCAAGAGGAAATATTTTCATGTCACCTGATTTAATGTCATTATTAATCTTCCTTAAAGAACCTTTGTTTCTCCAATTAATCGATTCTTCGAAAAAAACGAAGGACAGATTAATTTTACATAATACCCTTTAATGCAGGCATCCCAGATGGCCCAGAGTTCAGCCCCCCCACCACCTGGTGTCTGTCCCTCAGTCCATCTGGTTAAGACCGTAATATGCTGTCGTTAAGGGTCTCTGTGGCAGGCGGGGACCCTCATTAGGCCATTAGTAGGTAGTTTATTGGGTATGTTAGTATGAGCAGTCATGTAATGACACTACAGAACTTTTTATTAGTCAGGAAAACAGCAACGAGTGAGAGTGTGTTTCAATTCAGTTAGACTGAAAAAGATAATCCAACTTAAACAAACTGAATAAAGGTAATAATGAAGGTTGCTTTGGAGGAATAAATCAAAATGTATCAGAGACCAATCAGCTGGTTTTCCTTAGATAGAAAACTTTGCATCAATTTGACTGTATGATCAGGTTGAACTGTAAAGTGCCTTGAGATGACATGAGTTGTGAATTTGGCGCTATATAAATAAACTGAATTGAATTGGATTGAATTGGAAGCCTGTGAGGGAATGTTCTCAGAGCAAACACTTCAGTTTAATTCAATTTAGTTTATTTCTATAGCGACAATTCACACTTTACAGTTCACCAGATCCTCCAGTCAAACTTTTCTATCTAAGGAAACT